GGTTCCTGAGGCATTCTCAAAAGTTTTGGATAATTTGGTGAGATTTATTGTCTCATTAGAAATTAAAGCGTGGATTATTTGCTCAGAAAAGTTGGCTTTTTGACTTCAGGATCTAAATTGATCTTGCTTGAGGCCTGGCACATAATGCACCTTTCAGAGGCCTTGCACCCAAATTAGGCTTCCTGTGTTAATGAGGCAGTAGTTAAAACCAAGTATCAAGCAGGAAATAAGTGGCCCTCAAGGAATAGCAGAACTTCAGCATAAGACCTCTCCCAGGAGACAGCAGCTACACCCCAAGACACCCATTTACATTGACCCATAACACCCCATGGCCTGTTGACCTCTTTCTTTCCTTTGTTAACCAGCAGAGCAGCAAACACTTCTTTGTGAAACTGTGATTCTAGATGGACGGAAAATAGTGACTAGTCCCACTGAAGTATTGCAGGATCTAGAAAGTGATTTCTGTTTCCCCACTTTGTGGCTTTTCTATATCTTCGAAAGGTAGAGTGAAAAAAATCAGTGTGTCATGGCTAGTTCATTGCACTCTTTACCTGATATAATACAGTCGATTCTTGTTGTTTATAGTGGATACATTCTATAAAGTCTCATTGAATGCTGAATTAGTGAATATTGAACTGTTGCTCCTCATAGAGGTATAGGCTTAGGTTCCTGTGAACCTCCGTCACAACATTTTCTCAAGTGATCAATACACAAACTTGTGTCTTTTTAAAGGTACTTTATTTAATATTGTTGATTCATTAACATTGAACTCATGATCACAGCCCTATGACCAATACCCGAACAAGGCTTACCTAACACATGCATTTTCTCTGCAAGGCTCATCACAGCCTTTTAGGGCTTCTGCCTTTGCATAAGTTGTGCCCTCTGCCAGTGTTGTCTGCTCGTTCTCCCAGGGCTTCCTTTCAGCTCTAGCCCAAATTATAGCCTCTGTGCTATGTCCGGTGAGATGCCCGTCTCCCCCACAAGTATGAGCTCGTCAAGGGAAGGGTCTATTATTCTTATCTTTGTCCACAGTCTCTAATATGTTAATGTTCAGTAAGTGTTTTCGAATTAGTGAATGAATCTAAACATTATCTGAATGGTTTAGAAATGTGAAGCCTTTAAAAAGTCTTTTTAAATTAAAAAATAAAAAAGAGTAGAATATCAGTCTCTGAGTACAGACAAGTAGAAAGATGTGGCCGTTCTTTTGTTAATTAGCTCTGTTGTACAAAACTGAGCTTTTCCACTCTATACTGTGCCACTCCCCCTGGCCTCCAATATAAACATCCAGGGACTAGGCTTAATTAAAATAGAAGCTAGTTAAATTTTATATGGGAGGAAATGATGCTCCTTTTCTGATATTATCTATTTTAATTATTTCCTGCAGATTAACCATTTATTTTATCAAATATTTATCATAGAGCTTCTGTGTATAAAAAACTGGGCCAAGGGCTTTGGAGCATAAAAGATAAGCATAACACAAGGGGCTTTTGTTTCGTAGGAGAGAAAGACATGGGAGCTCATTTCTATAAAACAGGATAAAATGTGTGCTTACTATTGGTAGTATTATGGTAGCATAACAGAAAGCAAATTATTTCCAGCCTGCTCGGTTCCATATCAGAGCTTGAATTTGATCTGAGCCTTGAAGAGTCATTTGGGGATAGGTAGATAGTAGGACAAACTGAAGGAGTAACATGGTTAGGGCAGTTAGTTCCACGGAGAGGAAACAGTATGAGCAAAGGCACTGAGGCAGGAATGTACAGGGAGCAACAGCAGGGGAGAAGTACTGCAAGGAGAGTGAGGGTCAAGGGGGGAGCATTGTAAAATAAGACTGGAAAAGTACATCAGGATCCTATTATAGAGATTTAACGGCAGTTTGCTCGGACTTAATACTGTAATCATTAGGAGCCATGGCAGATTTTTAAAACAAAGGAAGTGCATGATAGCAACTAGCAGCAGCTAAAATTTGTAAGCTGTGTGCCAAGCACTTTCACTAAATCCTCACCATAGCACTTTGAGGTTAGTACTATTAGTATAAATTTTATGAATGTCAATGAAAAGCCCAGAGAGGTTAAGTAACTTCCCCAAGATTCACAGGAAATCAGTGGTGGACTTTGGATTTGAAGCCAGGAAGTTGTCTTTAAGACTTGGGTTTCGAACCTAGCATTGAAGAGAGCATTTGGGGGAGACTCTGAACTTTCTGAATTGTTTGCAAAGTGTTTAGTATATATGAATGTGTGCATTTGTTGAAGAAAACTCTATAGCTTTAATCATATAAGAGGTATGTACCAAAAAGGGTTAATAAAGACTGGTATCACCCTCTTTTGCTCTCAAAAGTCCTTCAGTATGTTGAGTGCATCAAGACTTTATGCTTATGATGCTTCTTAGGTTGATAGACGTAGAACAATCCAGCATATACCTCGAAGTAAAAGGAAATGTCAAAACAACTTAGTATTATAAGTGGCAAGCTGTTGCTGATTTGTGAGAAACAGAGTAACTGACCAAGAAGTTGTTCTGAAGGTAAATATAAGCTACCTGGGCTTTGAAACTTGTTGATAATTTGAGGACAGAGAGTCTAGCTCTTCACTAGGCAAAAATTATTCTTTTAAATTTCAATAAGAGCTAAACTTTTAAAGATTGAAATGTTTTTGGAAAATGCCTAGATGCTAGTCTGCTATCAGCTGGACCAGGTTGTCCTTTTACAGTTAGAGGGACTTGCGGGATGAATATTTATTAACTCATCAGACTGAAAATTCCTTGCAGCGGGTGATGAATCCAAAGGCAAGTGCCAAGATGAATGAATGACTGCAAATTAAAGAACTGGCAGCAGCTTATATCACTTGAGGAATTAAATTAATACCTGAGTTTTGTTTACAGTAAAAATTTTCATGCTTTACAGATGTACATCTTTAAGATATTTCTATTATACAAGTATAGCAAATATACTTTAATAGTAGAGATCTGGATCTCCTGCCTGCTGGAGTTTTTCTTAATATTTTTTTCATCTTTGCTTTCTCATTTTTCTCTATATTTTTTTCCTGGATCATTTGAAAGTATCTCATGTACAGCTCATATTCAACTGTTGAAAAATCTTTTATTATAGTTTCGTAGATTTGATCAAGGATTCAGTCAAGTGTCATCAATAGCCATTGTTGTCTTGTCTCTTTAGTCTCATTTAGAAACTTTCTTATCTCCCTGCCTTTTTTGTTTTTTCTTACTTGGTATTTCATGACATTAACATGTTTGAAAAGTCTAAGACAGTTGTCTGGAAGTACGCCTTTCAGTCAGGGTTCACATGACTGGCTTCCTAATGATTAGATTCAGGTTTAGACATTGATAGCAAGCATACACTGCTTCTCTTAAGAAGGTACATGATATATTGTTGGTTAGGCTAAATTTAATCACTCAATTAAGTTGGTGTTCACTGGACCTTTATAATGTAAAGGTACCTAATCTCCTTGATAACTGATAAGTAATCCCTAGGGTAATTCTTGGAGACCATATGCATGTCTTGTTCTCCAACAATCAGTCATTCGCCCAATGGTTTTAGCATTTATTTTTGATCTTTATATGAATCAGTTATTATGTTGGTGGTCACAATATCATGCTCATTGAATTTTTGAAGTCACTTTACTGGAGAAAAATTCTCCTCTTCACTCTCATCCCTGTTTGAGGGAAAAAATCTAGGTCCCAAAGACAGATGGCAGAGGAGTTGGTGAAAGTGAAACTCGAAAACAACTATCCAAACAAACACATGTTAATATTTAACAATTTTTTTTTTTTAACTTCGTGAGTGGGTGTACAGGAAAGTTCCTAGAGAGGTTTGGAGATTTACACTTAAAATAATAAAACTTTGTTGATGCAGATAAAGAAAAACAAATTGCCATGCTTATTTCCTTCTGCACTAAAAGAATTCAATAATAATGAGATGAGTTTTCATTCAACAGCCACAATCTGAAAAGATATTTGATGTTTGCCCTTCCATCTGAAAATGCCTCAGAAGTTCTTTATAAGGGAATAGTAGATTGAAATCGAATGGGCATCAAAACCATGGAATGCTTTTGAAAAGTGGGATAGTAAACAGAAATTGTTTAGTTGGGGCATTTCTTGATCTCAGCTTATAGTCCCTTTGGGAATTTATTTTAAGGCTTTTATATCTACCCTGCTCTTGACTGGCTCCCTCAGTGACTCCATGTTATCTGATGAGGATCTTATTTCACTTTTGAAAGCAGTGTTGTTCTCTTTGTTAGGGTATTAGGGGGTAGCAGGAAAAGGTCAACTTCAGACAGTGTAATAGAAAACCCACCCATCTATCTTGAAATTAGAGTACCCTTCATGCAATATAAGTTCTCCCACTTGCAATTCATAATGAAAAGATGTTTATTTTTGAAGCACTTAACTACCCATCCTACCTAAACAAAACTGTTCTTAAATATTGGAGTAAGGACCTTATCAGGCACTCTCTGTGAATACATTTCTAATTTGCTTAATTTTTTCCCCATTGTTTTGTAAGAGGATTTGGGGCAGTGTTTTTATGATAGGTAGACCTGGACCTGTGCATCCTCTGGAGCCATGACTTTTCACATTATATCCTTTAAGTCTGGAAAAATGATTTGCTTCTGTTTTGCTGGTATGGTATGTTATGTTAGCACACTTTTTTTCTCTTATTGGGATCCCTGTGAGTAAGAAATTAGCTTCGCATGGGGTGGCCTATAAAATTTACATTAGCCTATCCTGCGTTCAGAGAGAGCTGAATACTCCCTCATTTACTTGGTAAGTTCTCACACTGTATTTCTGGCTTATATTACGGTGTTGTTATAGATTCTAGAATATGAATATTTAAGGCAAAACCTTGCTAATTCAAGCAGCTAAGCTTTATGGGTTTCAAGGTTGAGCAATTCACTTGAACGATTTTGAGTCTTGAGACAGTGGATCCTCAAACTTATTGGTTAGATTAACATTTGCCTAGGAAGTGCAATAATTCAACAAGAGGCTTGAGGTTACAACAGAGCTAATGTCCTTCTGTGACCCCGACCCCTACCAGCAGTTTATTCTCAGTCCTTTTGATGTGCAGTGGACCTCTAGCAGCCCCAGTCCCATGTATGTGACGCAAAGAAGAGAACCTGGTCATAGTTGGCATGATGCTAATAGCTTCACAGCATATTTTAACACCATAATGAATGATGAAGAACTGAAATATTCCCCTTTTTTAAACATTTTGACTTGCTTTCTGAGATATAGCATGACAACTCCAAAGCATATTTACAATTCTGATTCTTGGGCTTGTAAAGTACACTGCTTGAATCTTAGCAGTAGGTTCATACCTGTCAAGCAGGTTTATACAACATTGAAAAATAAACATAGCTATGTCAGAAATCTTACTGATGAACAAGACTTCGTATTTCGTGTGAGCAATCTTTTGAAATAGTTCATTTGTGTTGAGTTTTTCTTAGTACTAGACTTAATTACAAGAGGAAGAATTAAAATAACAAAACTCTGGTTACAAGTAACATGATAGTAAGAGATGTCATCTTTCTTTTAGGCATATCTTAGTGTCTAGTCTAAGGCAACGCTAAGGCTCTGTGTACACTTGTTAAACTAAAATTTCAAATTAGTAGTTAAATTCCTCTGATCTTAGGTTTCTTTTGTAGGTCACCACTTCACTTGACCTTTCACAGACTGCCATTTTCTCTTCTTCCTGTCTCCCCTCTCACCCCATTCTGACTTAAATAATAGCAACTCCAAGCTGTTATATTTAAACTTTAAAAAAATTATATAGGAAAATTTTCAGAGAAATAAGGATATATTAAAATCATCTGCAAAGGTATGTAGAGACAGAGAGACCACTCAGGTTAGAATCTTGCAGTTAAAAGGAAAGAAGACCTGGTGTTTGCCCTCAGGCCAGAGTCTAATGTAGGTAAAATAGTCACCTGAAGACAGCTGAAAAATACAAGTCATGGTGTGATGTGGCGGAATGGGGACTGGGGGACAGTTTAAGGAAGAGTATGGTCAACTTTTCCTGGAAGGATCAGTCTTGACCTCACAGTAACCCTGGAGCAGAGTCTTTGAGAAATGAGTTACCCAGGCGGTGGGGGAACTTGAGAAGGCAATGGCAGGGGATCCTCCAGAGCGTGGAGGGGGTAATCACTGTATTTTATATGTTGGCCCTCATGAGAAGGAAAAGTGTCGTGTGGGGGGATTTGGTGAGCACAGATTAAAAGGCGACCTGGGAGAAGAAGGGAGCAAGGCACTGTGAATGCTGCTAGATGCAATATGCTGCTGTTTGGGAAGGAGGTGCGTAGGTTGGATTTGGAAGGAAGTAAATGATCATCATGGAACAGAGGTAGTAATGGGACTCAGTCTTGGCGAAGTCGAAGAGCAAGCGAAGGTGGGGGAGGGAGTTCCAGTGAGCTAGTCAGATGGGAGGATGTTCTCAGAGAGGTAGCCTAAGTGAAGAAACTCAGGGTGTGACCATGAGCATAGATAGCTGAGAAGGCCCTGTTCTTTGATCTCTTCCCTCTCATTGTACTATCTTTCCTTGGGCAATATCATCTCACTGTCTCTCACATATACCCAGCCAAAGTTACACACCTTAATTCCATACCAATTTATCCAGTGACTTAAGGTCTTTCACCTTAAACTAACCACCTTTTAAAATCAACCTTCTCATGTTAAATTGATTATACTTTAGTATTCAGTGTGTACTTCATAAGACTGTTCTCACCAATACCCCTTTATGGTCATATGTTTCCATGGCTTTATCTCTTAAATAATTGACTCTTAAACTCTCACTCTTTGATGTCCCTTGGGTCAAGGCATCTGGGGAGAATAATAGCAACAGCAACAACAACATGTATGAAGTGCTTGTATTATCTCATTAATTCTCATAACAACCATAGGGAGTATGTAGTATTATCTTTCCTATCTCATGAACAAGAAAAAGTAAGCTTAGGGTGGTTAAGTAGCATTCCCAAATCCTCTCATTCCTCCTAAGTGGGCCACTTATTCCATAGCCAAGGCAACACAGACTAGAACCAGTCAGGTCCCCTAAAACATCAGAACCACTGTCTGATCTCTTGAAACACTGCCATTGAAATACTTCCTGAGTGACTCAGTACCCGCTGCCACTTGCTCGAGCCCCGGAAGTTCAACCAAAGCCACACTGCCAAGCTGGGAATCTGGTGGGTTGTACTGCTGCCTTCTGAAAATGGGGATTTGGGTTAATGATGAAATAGGGTAAAATACAATAAGAAAGGCAGAGAGGAGAGAAAAAGAACACCTTTGTGTTAGGTGTTAAAATTCCCAGAGAATATATTTCAGTCTTCTAGATAACATACATACTTTCAGCCTCAGTCAAGATGGTGAGCTGGAAGAGGAAGATGTAGATAACAAGAACAAGTGTTTTATTATTGGGAAAAAATTAACTCACGGGCATCGTAGAACAGGGACTATCAAAAAGTTCAAAAACTTGGCGATACAGAGTGTCCTAATTCGGGGGATTCTTGAGGTTGGATTCTTTTGCTTCTGTGAGAGAGTCTTTTCTTTTGTGTCAGCTGATGGGGGTGCTCTGTGGTCTTCTTGGGGTGCTCTCTTCCCCCAAATGAGGAAAGGACTTGCTGCCTTAGCCAGCGGAAGACCCACCGGAAGTTCAGACAGGAGAGGGCTTGTGTACTGGAATGAGTGTCGTCCTCTAATGGCTGATCTGATGAGACCGTGATTTCTGTAATGCTTGTCCTTTGGCTGCCGGTTGCCCGGCTCATCGTCTGCCAAGAAAATAGGTGATGAGTTAGATATGCGTAACCTGAACAACATGGGATCAATATTTACCCATTTTTGGTACTCAAATCCTTTTACCAAAAATAAGCCAACTGTAAATGCAAAGTTTCAATACTTGATACTTAAACACACACACGTATCTTTTTGGGAGGGGGTCATAATTGCTAGCCTTTGCTTTTCCTTCCCTTTCTCTACTTCAATGCTCCTTGGTATTTTCCCTTCAACTCCCTGACCCTTTTTCTTGCTGTTATCCTTGTCCTACCTCTGGCCATGTCAGACACCTAGAGGGCCGACCCTCCTTCATAGCAGGTAGCAATGCTCCAGGCGTTTCACCCTGGCCCCTCCACCAGATTTGTCCCCTGCTTGCCTGTGAGGCATCGCTTTGCTCACCTCAGCAAGTTCATGTTCCTGAAGCTGTGGAGGAATCTGTAGAAACCGGATGACATCTTCATTTTCTGCTGGGTCAAAGTTGGGCAACTCTTGACAAGTCTCATGTTCTTGATGACTGACCTGAGCCATATCTGGAGGGGAGCTGCTGGACAGCTGGAAATCTTCCTCTTGAAAAGATTCAGGGAACACAGATTCATCATCTGTGTCATCTTTCTGATTTTCTAGAAATTTCTCAAGCTTTTGCACAAGACCATCCAGTTTGCTGAGGGTCATGTGTGTCTCCTCTCTGGGGAACTGATCTATCCACTGGTCATCTCCATGCAGACCCCAGTTAGCAGTGAAATCAGAATCGTTAGAGCCCACATCAACATCCCAGGCCAGGGGGATTCTTAGTTTGCAAAACTGCTCCAGGTCATCCTGAATTTGGTCTCGTCTTCTCAGGAGCCTCCCTATATTTTCAGTCCGCCACATGCCTTGGACAGGAGGGACAAAATGGATCGAAGGACCCTTAGAAGACGTGTTATCACAGGAGAGTGTGTTCTCATAGGAGAGGGTGTCCTCACAAGGATAACAGCCCACGGAGAGGCTCAGGTTTGATTCGGAGCTACAGTCCTTAGTGTCAGCACAGTTGCTACAGGAGAATGAGTTTGCCATGGAGTTGAAGACTCAAATTTTAGGTCTCTCTCATCTCAGGGATCTTCAAAAGAAGGAAAAAATAGATGGGATTGGTGAAAAGAAGGGAGTCATAGTACTTAAGCAATAACATTATCCATTTCTTTCTTTATTTAGTTCTATCCCACTCTGAAAAAGTTCATCCTATTTTGCAATCTCCAATTAAGGGAGTAAGAGGCAGCCCCCTCCCTTTAAAAACCTGTTTTGTTTGTATAACAACCCTCACATCATTGGTCTTATTGCAACGAAAGAACTTGTATTATAAAAGAAAAATAATCATTGTATACAATTTGAGATATAAAAGTATAAAGATGAAAATAAATGTGCCAATGATCCCATTTTGTCCAGAGATAATGAAAACCATCGTGAAAACATTTTGGCAGATTTCCTTATAATCTTTTTCATATGTACATATATTTATACATGTATAATTTATACATATACTAACATTCACATACATATATGGATATGGATGTCACATCAGTTGAAACACATTATTTTTTGTGGTATAACCTGCAATAAACATATATGGCTATTCTATCATTTTAACCACTTATTAATGATCATTAGGTGCTGGTAATTGTTTTAATAAATAAATCTACAATAAACTCCCTTGTCAATAAATCTTCGTCTCCCTTTATATTTCTATATGTGGGTTTAATTGATCAAAGACCACAGATGTATTAAAGTCTCTTGATAGTCGGTACCAAATTGCATTCCAGAAAGGTTATAGCCATTTAGATGCCCCTTCTCTCACCACTTGATGGCATTTTTTTTGTCCAACCTTTTCTATGATGCTCTAGTAAGTAAGTAAGTTGGGGACAGGGGGAAGAGAGTACACACACACACACAGACACACACGAATATGCATACGTTGCAGACTGCCATTCTCTGCCCTGCTCTGGTTGCTTCTTGCATAAAAGAGGTGCTGCTAACTCCCGAGCCATAAACTGGGGACATTCAAAATCCTTCAGAACTCGAGTTTCAGTGACTAAAAGTCCAACTGCCAGCAGCCTGTGTTCTGGGACTGTTGGTTACCATAGCAACACAAGGACTCGTTATAGTCAGAAACGTGGAAAGAAAAAAAGAGGGATAGGAAGCCACAGGATTTCTTGTTTCCAAAATATTCTGTACCTATATCATCCCAGGCTGAAGAAGATTCCTCATGAAGGACAAATGCAGTGGTGATTACTTCCTTCTTGTCATGCGGATGTCTAAGATGGTTCCTATTTTAAGGGAATTTAGAGCCTTTTTGGTGAGGTGGATAAACAGCCTAATATAGGACAAAGTGGTAAGTGCAGCAACAGAACTTAAAAATTAACATCATGGGAGAACAAAAGGAGGTACCTCATGCAGCCAGGGTTGAGATTGGGGTGAGGATATCGGGAAAAGCCTCCTGGAGGAGATTGCTTCTGATCTGAGTATTTACGGGGGAATGGAAGTTAGTGAGGTGAAAACTGGAGTAGGGCTGGTGGGAGAGGGCCTTTCAGGCAGAGGAGACAACATGAGCAGGGGCACCAAGGTGAGAAACAGCCGACTGTGTGAAGAGGTTAAGCAGGGGTCACTGAGATCATGGAAGCCCTTCCACGCATGTTAGAGAGCTTGGATTATATCCTGTCAGCCTGTACTTGGATATGGTGGTCATTTATCAGGCACTCTTCCAGGTAATTCAAAGTATACTGAGATACTTGACATGGTTAATAAAAAGCAAAACTACCAGTGGACTTGGCAGCATGAATGTCATTGGTTTTTAATGAGAATGGAATCAATAGGTTTGCACTGGGTTGAAAGATGAATGGGAGGAGAAATAGGAACAGTGAGTATAGACTATACTTTAGGAGTATCTGAATGAGAAAGTGAGGATGAAACAGAATCAAGTTTAGTTTCCACACCCACCCCTAAATAAAAGAGGTAAGGCGTCAACCAGCGGAGAGTTTCAAAATATAAAAGGTTGGCTGCTTTATTTGGGGAAAGTAAGGGTGGGATCCATGGCCTGAACAGATGAGTTGGTTGTAATAAAAGGAGTATATTATTCCATGATATTAGAAGGAAAAAATGAAGGATGGATATGGAAACATTTGGAGAAATGCATTGTTAACTACCACCATTTTCTTCTTTGAGTTTTTCAGCTAGGCTTCTCCCTTATTCCTGAGATTAAATCTGCTTTTTTTTTCTTTCTTTTTTTTTTAACATCAGTTCTGTTAATAGGATCCCTACCCTTGTTCTCCTTGTTCCCAACATTATCTATCTTGACAACCTCTTCAGAAACATGAAGTGTGTTGGACCTTCCAGAATTGAAGCTTTGATTTACCTTGTCTTTTT